AATCATTCTAAGCAACATATGGCAATCTGCGGTCTTTCCTTGCACTTAGGTGGCACGGAAAGCCGTAAAAATCTTGAACAAAAGCTCATCTTTCAAACCGGCAGTCTAAATCCCACAGGGATCAATGAACGCTTTTCATTCCACTAATTTATTCATGTTTTTCTCGTTGCCATGCACCCACCAATAACGTAGCTCCATTTTCTGCCTTTAAAAGCACACACAACCCACAATTCCTCTATTCGCTCCGACGAAGGGCTAACGCTCGAAACGTCAGCTTTTGTAATCATTACGGTGGCCAATTTACCATTTCAACTTTGTTGATATATCCAAATTATTTCGTTACTCCCACCGACGCAGCCCCAAACAGTTTCTTTCGAAACTATCAGCCTTTATTCATTTGGATCTTGTAATACCCCCACCGACATAGTGCGCTTATGCTTCATCTGGAAGTTTGTGCAACTTCAGTCCGCAAACTGCTGTTGCATTTGAATGTGTTGCTCTAGGATGTTTTCGATGGTGATGATCAGTGCTTCATAGGCCAGTTTTAAGATATTTGCCTTGCACGTGGAGGGAAAAGGAAGAGTTGCTGGCAAGTCTAGGAAACAGGAAAATGGATCTTGGTAACTGGCGGTATCAGCATTTAATAACTTGAAGGTTTGCCGGGTGACTTTAACTCAACTGGTCAACTATGGTTGAACTTGTTACACCGCGCTAATTGACCAAAATTTGTAGCAATATTGTAAGAGGAGATGTGACGTTTTTACTCGATATATGAAAAAAGAAAAAATACGTCTGTTCAGTTTTAGAAAGATTCAAAACAGGATCAGACTCCATATTTAGCGACACATCATGTACAACCACAACATAAAACTAAATATTCCAAACAAGAGTCTTCTTACAGTAAGTTGAGATGAAAATTGGCAACCAGGTCAATGAGAAGCTTAAAAATAAAATGTCATGTTTGATCCTATTGTATACTTTCCTTAACTTTTTATTTATATTTTAGTGATTTCAGATTTTCAAACAATGCCCTTTGATAATGCAAGTAATGTCTCTGCGGTCGAATAGAGAATTTAAGATTTAAATTGTTTCCTTTTGTTTCGGAACTTCCTTTGAATAAGGTTACCAATTGTAAATGTAAGGCGGAATTTTTCACCGGCGAGCTTGCTAGATTAATTGATCAATGCTGATACTACATTTTTTTCGATAATAAATATTTATCTTAAGCTTTTATCTTTACCATTCGTTTGAAAATGCTGTGAATTTGTCCTCATCAACAAACTCAAATTTCCGTCCAACCCACGTTTTTTTGTTGTTATTGTGCATAGCAAAGTCGGCGAATGCAGCCGACAGCTGTTCAGCTCATCATGGCTGACCGCTTGGCAACGATACTCTTTGAGAGTCTGAGAAAAAAAATTGTAAAAATGGTGCGATTTAGTTTCGCGGTTTCGACAGGGTAGAGAGTGTCGAAAGTTCCGTGAGTCTCATGAATGCCTTTTCGAAGTATAATTTTCTTTTTTACCCCGACCTTTGTTTGGTTTTCGTTCTCATGGGCGACGCGTGTGATCTGATCATTTAGACAATCACGTCAACAGAGCTTGAACTTGAAACTGAAGTTAAGGTAATGCACGAATTTGAAGTCGAATTGAGCGCTTGTTTTTTATTTTTTAAGTTTTTTAGTTGACTTGAATGTTGTGCCCTTTATCATGATCCCGAATTTGCGTTCTCTCCTGTCAGAAGAGAGGGGAGAATACGTCTCTGTAACTCAAATAGAGGGTGGCACAGTGACCCACTAATAAAGCTACTGACTCGGTTGTTGATGTGTGTTCGCCGAGGCGCCTCGCCTCTCTCTAAACTATCCCGGATCTCATAGAGTGGACAACCTTGCTGGGCTTGAAAGCCGATTTACATTGCAATTAGAGCACGGCATGGGGCCTTGGCATTCTCTGAGCTCGACTTACTTAGCTCGAATTTTAATTAAAAAAAAAAAAAACTACCACTCGACTGTAACGCTTTTACATTACAATCCAAGATAGGTATGGGGTTTGCCGCTGAATAAGTATGTCGCCATACATATCACGCCTGCAGATTTTGCTGTACAGCAGTCATCTTCACAGCAAGACTTAAGTAGGTCATGTATGGGGAATTATTATATACCTGCCTAACTACAGAAGATGAAGTTTATTTCATTTTAGTTATTTATTTCTTGAGAAAGTCGATATGAGTGAAAGAAACAGAAACAAATTACCAAATAACTTACCCCAGCTGCAGAATTTGGTGAAGAGGGATCCTGACTCGTATAAAGAAGAGGTAAGAGTGTGATCGGGTGCGTGTAAATGTCAGTGTTCCGAATACTCTAAAGATACACGTGCTGGGCTTTAATAACCAAGACAAATCTAATCATGTATGTTACCCAATTCTTTTTTCCCGAGTATCTAAGTCTCCCACACCGATTTAAAACGGGAGGAGTTTTTTTGTGTTATCTTCTGGTAGGGTGATCTTGGAACACTGTCTCTATCACGACTGGTCATGTTTCGTTGGCTTGAATGATTGATTCTTTAACCCCGACGAGTGACCAAGACAGAATTTCTCCTTACCGTATCAATACAATATCAAACAGACAAATGATGAGATTGAAGAAAAAAATCAATTGAGAGATAATTAGTTGATCCAGTACAGAATTCTCCAAACTAGCATCACCAGAATTGTATTGCAGACAGTAAGAAGAATTTAATGAAATCTTGGGCGGGAAAAGGGTTACATACATTTAAGCTTACCCACAAATGCTTCGTTCCCAGAGATGATATGAAAAGTTTAGGATCAGGCACCAAACATTTTGTAGCTTTATTGGAAAGATTGTGTTAAGGTGATGATAAATTTGCTTTGTTTATTTCACTTTGATCCTTGTCGTGCAAGGAATTTATACAAGCAGGCAAGTACAGGAAAGATTTCTGCATAACCCTATACTATTTTAAAACAAATCTGTCTTCTGAAAGGCAAACTATTGTTTCCTCATTGTTTATTTTTAACCAAGAACTTTATGCGTAATGAAGCGTGAAGCTGTGTGGAAATCTTACCCCTGTATATAATATCATGCCATAATTGTCCAGACTGTGAAAATAACATATGTTTGTTCCTCTTTTACTTTTTCTCCTACAGTTTGGTCAGCAGTTTCGGCACTATGAATCAAATCTTCAGATCTTTAAGCTTGATCCATCCAGTGCCAACAAAACCCTTGCTGATTTGGTTATGTTTCTCAGCCAGGTAAAGTTTGTTTGTATCAAATACAGTCAAGTACATTTGTTGTGTGAGACATGGTTGTCCAACACCTAGTGTTCACCCCTTTAACACCCAGATTTCATTGATGATTCTCCTTACTGGTTGCCATGCCATTCATATTCTTCTTTATTCTTATCACTTGTCTGTTTGGTATTGTATTGTTTTCATATGGCTGTGTCTCACAAGGACTGGGAACTACCAAATTCATGAATTTGATTGGTTGAAATCAGTATTGAAAGCAGTCTAGACCGGCATCTAGACCGGTCTAGAAAATAAGGTACGAAGAATATACAAAATTGGCATATAAGACAGCCATATGATAAACATTAACTGAGCTAGGTTGGTCTGTATGGGAGAATCTTGACCTCGATCGCTGGTACAGACCTTGAACTTTTGAACTTTGAACTTTATTTTTATTTAGACACAGTAAATCTATCAGATAAAATGATAATATTATTACAATCTATTATTACAGTTACAATCTATTTTAATCTATATAAACATGATCTAAAATTTAAAAGTGAAATAGAAAAAAAAA